GTGCGCCCGTTGCGGCGAGCGTGAATGGGGTTGTCACGTCGCGCGGGAACTTGGCAACCCCACCTGAAGGGATGCCTGTGCTATCGAGCGGCAGATAGTCGCCCGTGGCGAGCTGGGCGGTGGTGCCCGAGATATCGGGTCCATCGCCGATGTTGAAGTAGCTGTGAGAGGTGGGGGAGCTTGGTCAGCGGATAGCTCCAATTTTTCAAGATTGGTATCGTCTCATCAACCTCGGGAAAGGGGAGAAGGGGCTGGGCTTTTACCTGTGGTTGGTGAGGTTGACTACAGTCTCCTCGCACTCGTTGCCAGTGAATTCTACCTCGTACTCGGCCGTCAAGACGGTCTTGGCGTCGCCCTCCTTGCTGGCGGTGTACCACACACGCACCTCGACAGTACCGGGATACCCCTCCTCACCATCTTTGCAAAGGTACTTGAACAGCAAGGCGTCGTGGCCATTGCGCTGGACGGTGTGTGGACCGTCAAAGATGCGCTTACCCCAACCATTCTCACCACCATGCAGGGAATTGGGGCCGTCGTTCTGCGCCAGTTGGATCTTCTGGCCATTCAGCTCCTGGATCAGACCATCCTTGATGCGGTTCGCGACGCGGCCGATGGTGGCACCATAGTGCGGGGAGTTGTGCTTGACATAGTCATCTTGCGTGGGGAAACCTAGAACGATGTTCTTGCCGCCGACGCGGAATTCTTGAATGATGGCGCCCAAAGGCAAGAAGGTAAATGCAGCTTGTTCGGGGGCAGACATGATGAGATTTCTTTTTTATTTTTCTTCGGAGGAGATGGTGGGGAAAAGAAGACTATGTACATTTCATTTTTAGGGGTCGACATGACGTTGCAACCCCGCAATCTGCGGGATGAATCACCGACAACACCTATTCGAATTTTTTTGTTTAGCATAAATGGTGATATTCAGGGCATTTAGAGGTCTTTCATGCCCTGAGAGGGTCCTAGTTTCAAAGTGATTAGGCTAAAAGGGAAAGTCTTTGAATTGGCCCGGGATTTTAGGGTAAAGCTCAACTCGTGACTTCTGACTTCTTCCGTAATCCGATATAAAACATAAAGACCTTGAAACCTTCCCAGGTTGGAACTCGGACCCAAGTCACTTCCAGAGTTCAACTATAAACTATAACAAAGACAAAAAGGTGTGTATTGAGTTGGTATTCTCCAATCAGAGATTTACAATATATCATAAAACGGACATAGCACTTCGGTGTTAGGGTAAGCCTGCATCCGGTCGGAGGAAACGAAGTCCGGCGTCCGAAGGGATCTATACCCCGGACTCGTGTCGGCCCATTTGAAAGGCAAAAAGTGAAAAAAAAAAAGGAGACACGCCAAGGTTTCAGGATTAATAATTGGTAGGTCCCTCCCGAGGTCGGTACGGAGTACATAATAGAGGATTGGCATTGGGTTGGCATCGGATTGGCATTTGTATTGAATTGGCATTGTATTAGGCAGGCATTTTCTTGGTCTGTTAGTTTGACGAAACAAAGCAGGTTTGACGATAACTGGGGCTGTGTGTGTCAGGGGTCTAAACCGAATACGATATACGAATACATATACGGCTTCCAAGGTTGGCTATAACTCAGTTTATATACGGAGTAAGTGTTGAGTAAATAAGAGCAATGAACATGTCCAACATACGGAGTAATGGAATTCTACAATGTTGTACTCCGTATATTGTATATTTCCAGGATCCCGGAGCATTTGACCCATAACGGTAAATCGGGACTTCGGCGACTTTGATCTCCATGTACAACATAGGTACCTCCAGGGCTAGGGTTGGGTATAAAGCAAAAGTCTCACGTAAGCCGAAAAGAGCAAAAAAATCGCTCAAATGTGGAGATTTTTTGGAGAGAAAAAAAATTATTACATATCCGCTGAGTCAGGAGATCAATAATCAACTTACCTAGGTATATGTTGTAGGTAAGGTAATAATATATTACAATATACAATATTAGAAGAGAGTCCGAATTATTCCCGTCTAGATCTTCTGGAACGGTACAATATACTGTATAAAGTCAACATTGAAATGAGATCATTGCCCGTTTAGGATAGTGTAACGGTGACATGACCTTGAATGACCTTGAACTTCATTGAAATTGTAATTAGATAGAAAACATCCCTTGAAACCGTTTTAAAACTCCAGAAATAAAAAAGAAAGTAGGAAGAATAATAGTTAAAAAAACAAAACAAAACAAAAGAGGAAACTCCAAATCTCCAAAAACCAGTTCACTGTACAGAGGTGATTAGGATCCCAATTGCGCCTGAATCCAGTCAACAGAACTTGTGGGGGAAAATAGCCCTAGAGAAGAGATAGAAGGGGGGGGAAAAAAAGCAGAACATGTATAGTATACATGCATCACGTCATACGGCGTTAAAAAAAAAAAAGAGTCGAAAAGAAAGTAACCCTAAAAAAGGACAAGGCTCAGATCGAGGTGATCTCCGTAGGGTTTGGATTGAGGAATTGATTGAAATCCTCATAGTCGTTCTTGGAATCCAGATATGACCCTTGGGACAAGCAATTGATGGGAACCTGGCGATTGAACATAGGCGATGATAGCTGCTGGTCGTCAAAGGGCATATTGGAGTAATCGGCCGTGGACATTAAATCCATCTCGTCGAAAGGATTGAATCCGTTACTGGGCCACTGTTGCGGACCTTGCAAAGCTAATGGATTGACCACGCCCTGCATAGACATGGGTTGGGCGAATTGCGGGGTGTTAGGCATCTGAGGGGGATGAGGTTCGGTCTTAATGGGCGCCCGTGTCGAGGGACTATACGTTGGCGGCGTGGGCGGCATGTGCTGCTGGGAGAAAGCATCGGATGAGAAACGCGAGCGGGGAACTGGTGATTGGGGACTATCAGAGCCACCATCGGAGGATTCCTGGCGTTGCATGCCGGCGTTGGTGTGCCATAGGTCGTGCTGTAGGGCTTCGGGGTTTTCTTCGAAGCGCTCACCCTTGGAGCCATCGAGGGCGCCGAGGCGCATGAGCAGGTCGTGAGTGAGTGGGTGACCGTTGGGTTCGAGTTTCAGCTGTTCGCCGGGCCAGCCTTCGCCTTCGATATTGCGTCGATAGAGTTCCTGGAGACCATGGACCAGCCAAGATTGTTGCTGTTCAAGCATCTCAACGTATCTATAATGGGAGATAGCTAGTTAGTTGGGGGGGATTCTTTAGGGCTTTGAATAGAGCTATTTAGCTTACCCCTTCGGGTACACTTTATCATGCGCCTTCTTGCGTTCCCCAAAGACGCAGATGGCATTGTCTGCACGACAACGGGAACATGGGCTGGATCCATCACACTGTCCCGGGTCAGTGTATGTTGGGACGATCACCTTTTTGTTTGTACATACCTTGGATTTCTTCAAGCGACACCGATCGCATGCTTTGCATACTCTTTTGCGGACATTGCTGTCCGAATGCGAGTCCGATGTTGGTGTTGATTGGCGAGCTGCCATGATTTATGAAGTCGAAAGTATGGTGGTGAGAGAGAATATCGGGGATTTCGACCCTTAGCTATACTTCTTTGATCCGAGTAAGGATCGACGTCAAATCGGGGTCGATGATATAATGATGTTCACAGGTGAAAAAGAAATTGAGTTCAGATAAAGTAGACGGATGCAGATAGGAAATCCTTGGGACCGTATAGGAATAAGGAATAGAATAATAGAAAGCGTAGTAAGTAGGTAATATGAGAGAAGTGAAGTAATAAAAGTCACTCCAAGGTCACCATGGGAGTAGATGTGCATATATAGGAATATGACAAAAAAAAGAGGGGGCCTTCTAGTTTAGGAATTTATTCATTTTAATTATATTTTTTTTATATTTATATTAGAGTCATGGATATGTAGAGTTCTAACAGTCTAACAAGAAAAGAGAAAAGAGCATAAAAAAAAAGGGATCGGATCGAAGATCATAAAATACAGTACAGTGTCAATACGAGCCAAAATTACTGGATGACTCGGCATTTGCTGACGGAGCTCGGGGACTTTTAACTGACGTATATCCGAGTGGAGTGCATTTCCGACCACACATTTCATTTGATTTATTTTGATTTCATTTGATTTATTTTTTGATTTATTTGATTTATTTGATTTTGTATTTTGTATTTTGTATTTTGTATAATATTGGATGTATATTGTAGATAAATAGAAGATAGTCTATAGAAGATAGAAATATAAATAGTCTATACAACATAGAATAGAATAACAAATATGAATATTCTTGGCAGCATAAATGTGTAAGCGTATAAAAAAGAAAAAGGAAAATGAACATCGGCAAGCCCATGCCGAATCGCATGTTGCACCCGAATCTTCATTATATTATGTATTCCGATATTCCAAGTATACTCCGATCAAGATCTAGTTTACTATGTTGTATACTATACAACATATATACAACATACAACGTTAGCAGTAATCCTGTTTCCATTGGAATGATTCATGACCCTACAACATTACCAATAAGGCGAAAAAGTCCATGACGTAACGATTCTCGTCCAATAAGGAACATAGTTCCTCTTTAGGATATCTCACCTCCCCTTTTGACTGTACATATGTAATCAAAAGTAATCAAAAGGGCTAGACCTTTTCTTTCTAGAATACATCCTGTTTCTCCCCTTCTCCGGTTTCCGACCTCGGGTGTTCCCTATTTCCATTTCCCTCGATATTTCCTGCAGTTCAAAAGCTTAGCTAAGTACTTACTACATTGGGAAATATGTGACGATTTGGATATTCAAATCCAATTCAACTCAAATTCAAATGTCAATCCGTGGGAACTCTCTACAATATAGCGTATGTCTTATAAGACCGGTTTAACGCCGGAGATGCATTCCGTGTCCATTCACTTTATTCACCTTGGGTTGCTCTTCCTCACATGTTCCCCAGGTCAACTCTTATGTACACAGATACTTGTCCAATATATATATGTGTTTATATATGACAGGGGTATAGTATAATCTACATCTTTATATAATATACACATCCATCAACAAGAGCAGTGAAAACACCAGAGCTGACAAACGCAGCAACCCCGATAGCACTTTTGACGTTCATGTTTTTCGGGTCCGTTCTGGACTTCACCCTGTTCCTGACCCTGTTCGCCGGTTGGTTCCGTAGTCTTCCGTTTGATAAAACCCCACACGCGACTTCGTCGGGATCGGGTCTCGCCTGCAATTGTGTCTACAGTGGTGGTTGGTAGGGTATTGTGCGATGGCTCGGCGCACGGGGGAGGAAGCACACCGTCTTGGCTTTGGAGTCGGGCTTCGACCACGCGACGGACTAAATCTATCCAGAGTTATTAGCTTGTCTCTTGTCTCCTTTCCGACATGTCATACGGGCAAAGGTTTCCTCAATGTTGACCATCTCGCGAGCACTGGTCTCCATAAACCCGCAGCCGTGCTTGCGCGCATACTCGAGTCCATCGCGGGATGTCACCACGCGACCATCCTTGAGATCACATTTGTTGCCCGCAACGATTTTAACTGGCGGTGGCAGGCCAACGTGGCCTGCCCCGGATTTCTTTTTCAACTCCTGGCGCAGTCGCTGGTTGTCCTCGACGCGTTGCTCCGCCTCCATATGGATCATCTCCATGAAATGATCTAGCGTTTCAAGACTCGACGGGTTGGTGATATCGTAAACCAAGAGGAACGCATCGGAGTTCAGGGTCGAGGCAGACCATAGTCCACGGTACTCCTCCTGGCCTGCGGTATCGGTGATGGAGAGAACGTAGGGGTGGCCATCGACGGTGCGGGTGACGGAGTAGGAATCCTCTGGGCGTGATTAGAATTTTGGAGTGACATCAAAATGGGGCGGGTAATACCGATAGTGGGATCATATCTAGAAATGAGATATTAGCGTTGGTTTTCCCAAGGTCAGGGGGCAAGTTTCTCACTCGTGAACCCATTGGCTGCGGACCAGCCGCATGGTGATGGAGGATTTGCCTGCATCCCGATCTGATCAGATCTCGATTGCGCGAAACCCGGAATGGCCCCGACTCGCGGAGACAGGAAATTCCCAGACAAGAGAAGGTTGTACATACCACATCCACCATCTCCGCAGATGGTGATTGAGATTTTGTCCATGGCCAACGGACATTGGAGGTGTATGGAGTTGGGGGGAATGTTGATAGGGGTTATTAATATAATAGGGGGTTATCAATAGTACCGATGTACCTATATTGTATACTCCGTAGCTTACTACATATATGTATAGCTTTGATTAGTTGATCTCTCTATCTCTTAATGTACCTCATACCATTATTGATCACTCTTTTCTATAATTGTCTTTGTGATAGGTCTGGCCTCTCAAAATACAACATAGACATGGATATATAGCGCTGAACATTACGATTACTTCAATCTGTATATATAGAATAGAACAGAGAAATAAAAGGAGAATAGGATAGAATACAATTGAGAGACAAAAATATAGGGAATGTCAAATACCCGTACATACTCCGTGTATATATAATAATATGGAAGCTTGGCGAGTACTTCTCCACATCAGCTCTCTCTCTCTCTCTCTCTCCCCCTTTCTCTTTTTCATCTTCTCATCTTCTCCCTCTCCTTCTCTCTTCTAACACCAAACACATTTACTCCTATAAACATCCACAAACTGCAAGCATATATTGGAAATTCCGACTGAGGTTGTCATACCGCGGGGCGATGGAACTCGGCCTCGGTTACAGATATTTTAATTACCAACATGAACAGCTTCAGCTTGGAATATGATGATGAATATCAGCTCACTTCACAAGCTCCCAACCATTCATATACGACATTTACAAACCAGGGTAGCTATGCCTTCAGTGCTATGCTACCCCAGGATGCGGATCTGCCTCTCCAGAACTTCGCACGATCCCAGCCTTCGGACCTAGACGGACAAAGATCTAATGTCATGCTCACATACGATGCGATGCCGACCTCGGGTATCTCAATGCCTATGAATATGAACGCTACCAACGCCTATACCTACGATATCCCGGCCACCTACCCGGCCACCACCGGGGGGATGCCTCCGCAGATGGATCAATCACAGTTTCAGTCTACATACTCGCTCTTCCCGCACGCCATGGCGGTACCCCATTTCCCCCAGCTCGCTCCGCCAGCCTTCTCGGGACCATACAATACGAGCACCGCTTCGATAGCTAACTTCGAGGATTCCGACTTTTCGGGTGGCATGAGCGACTGGTCGCAGGCGCAGGTACAGGTGCAGCGGGCTCGTCGACAACCTCCGGAACGCCACCTGCCTACTGGCCAGCCGTACCGTGCATTGCGGCCGGTGGCTATTCAGCCAAAGAAGCCAGTTGCTGCCACAGGTGAGTTGTGTCTGTGCCTGGCACCTCCCGGTTGGCTGTGGCCCATTGTATGACTGACGCGGGAGCGCGCAATCAGAGGGTTTTTCGCCAGGGCTTGCAAAGCCCGAGATTGGCAAGACTGAACATACCGGCATCTATTCGACGACTGGCTTTGACGTGCTGGGAGCGTTGGTACGTCTTTTATCCCCATAGAGAGTATCAGACGACTTACTAGCCTTATTCAGGGCCGCGTTGCTATGCGGCGCAACCCTAAAATTAACATTGGCGCGGTCGATCTCTCTTGCGCCTTCGTGATGTGTGATATCTTAACTGAAGATCATCCAATCGTCTACGTATCAGAGGCGTTTGAACGATTGACCGGCTATACTAAAAATGAAATCGTTGGTCGGAATTGTCGATTTCTTCAAGCACCCGACGGTAGGATCAGTGCTGGTGCTAAGCGGACCTTTGTTGATGGACAGACTGTCTATCGGCTACGGTCAACCATCGACGACCGCAGTGAGATACAGGCCAGTATAATTAACTACCGCAAGGGTGGACAACCCTTCATGAATCTCATCACGATGATCCCCATCCAGTGGGACTCGGATGTTTACCGGTACTACGTCGGGTTCCAGGTTGATCTGGTTGAAAAACCCGATGCCGTGAGGGGAAGAAATCCTGGTATACTTTGCAGCAGCCTTCGTGGCGAGTGCCCTCACTAACGTTGTATAGATGGTAACTATAACATTAACTATCGGCGTGATCAACTGCCACAGTATATAGTCCCATCACCAGATGTATACTCACGACCAGACCTCGGGTTGCGATATGGTCACGACGAAGTGACTACTATTCTCAACGCCATGAATGCAGTTGGCAATGATGCCAACCGGCACTGCCTGGATCGCATTCTGGTTGAAAATACAGATGATGTGATCCATGTGCTTTCATTCAACGGTGAATTCTTGTATCTGTCGCCCTCTTGCCACAAGATTCTAGAATATGACCCGGTGGAATTGATCGGCAAGACCCTGTCTACCATCTGCCATCCCAGTGATATTGGTCCTGTAATTCGCGAATTGCGGGCGAGCACGACAACCGCTACACTCAGTGTTGTGTATCGCATCAGACAAAAGCACCGAGGATATATGTGGTTCGAAAGCCACGGCGCGTGGCACATCGACCCGAACCAGGGCCGGAGACATCTAGTCATGACCGGGCGCCCGCGTCCCGTCTACACCTTGGATCAGATTGCCCGCCTGGGCTCACTCCCTGCGCTGGCCGAGAATGACATCTGGGCCAAGGTTTCCTTGTCTGGTGTCATCCTTTTTATTACTACCAAGGTGAAGCCGGTGCTCGGCCGCTCACCTGACGATCTGATTGGTAAAGGCCTACAAGAGTTCATGCAGCCCGAGACTGGTGGCACTGCCACGATCACACAAGCCCTGGAGGCAGCCTCTGGTGGACAAGGGCCTGGCATGGCGACCGTTTTCGGTAGCGGCAAAGAAACGGGTGAGCCACCCTCATTCAAACACCAAATGTGGCATAGGAAAGGCCATGCCCTTTCAGCACATACCACATTGTACACCGGCGACGCAGCGAAGGGAACCAAGCCGAGCTTCCTCGTCGCCCAGATACGATTTGCTCGGCCATTCCCTCCACCCGCCGCCATCTCAGCGGCCGAAGACAAAAGCCTCACTACGCTTACCGTCGATGACACCGTCCCGCCCCAACAGTACGGTGCCCTTGGTCAACGCATGCCCGAGCTGTCGAACCTCATCGGCCTCAACGGCCTGCCCACTGGCAACCGCAGCAGTTCATCTTCCGCCGACCCCACAACCTTCTTTACAGAGCTCAATCCCACCCGTGGATCCAGCTGGCAGATCGAGCTGCGCGAGCTAGAGAAGCAGAACGGCACCCTAGCCGATGAATTGCAACGCCTGGTGGCTCGCCGCAGGAAGCGCAAGCGCAAGCACGGCGCTATGGCGGTCGAGAAGATTTGTGCTATGTGCAACACAAAGAACACCCCCGAGTGGCGGCGTGGTCCCAGTGGAAACCGGGATCTTTGCAATAGCTGTGGGCTGCGGTGGGCAAAGCAGATCCGTAGCCAGGCGCAGGCGCAGGCTGCGGCTTCTTAGTCTGTTACAGTGGACTGGTGAGTATATCAACTGTTGTCTTTCTTCCTTCCTTTCCTTTCTTTTTTCTTTTTCTTTTTTTTTTTAAAAATTTTTTTTTTTTTGCTTTTCTCCTTCTCTAGAGGGCTGATTTTTTGATACCCTTCCGTTTTGACTGTCGAAATTGACACATGCTACTTTTGAGCGCTTGAACTTTTGGGGGTTTCCTTTCGCACATGTCTTTCCATATGCAATTTCAAATATTGCATACAGAAACATGTCGGCTAGGACTGTAGGCTCTACGGCTAGTGCTACGGCTAGTAGTGATAGCAAAAGCTCGACGGAAAAACACCTCTTTTATGAGTCGATATGTTGGAATATAATACAAAGAATCCCTAAAAAAAAAGTCTACTATGCAAGCAGGGACCTCCAGTCTATGAGCTTTCCAAAAAATTACAGCTTCTTGGACTTCGAACTGTTTCCACGAACAGCCAGCCACTGCTCCAACCAGCGCCTCTCCAACCCTTCTACACGTTTGCGGTCTTGAGTACCAGAAGAGACGTCCACACCACCACGCTCCTCAACCGCAATCCGCACCTCAGTAGCATTCATAGCAGAAACCCCTCCGCCAACACGAATCATCCCGTCATCAATAGACAGGTACTCAACATATCGCGCCAGCCGAGGCCGGTAGATCAAACCAGCAAGCGACTCGCCCGCAGTCCTATCATGACGCTTAACCAGACCAAAAACAGCGCAGGCACGCAACACATCCGCGGAGCCCGCACTAGCAACCCAGACGGGATCAGCAAAACACCTAGCAAGTAGAGCCAACTGCTCTGCACCGCCCGCCTTGAGCAAATGCACAGATCGATCTTTATTCTCAGCAACAAATACATCTAGCGCCGCGAGTTTACGCGCTGTAGCAGCAACGCGCTCCTTCTCCACCTGCGAGGGCACACGACACGTCGCGGGTGTAATGGCAGAGCCGAATATCGGGATGATTAGGGGTGTGAACTCGCCGCAGATGATCAGGATCATCGTGAAGGGGATCATGCGACGGACATCGCGGGCTGAGCGGCGGACGAGCTGGAATTGCGCGCGGCCGAGCTTGAATTCTTGTGTTGTTGATGGCGCGCCGCCGTTATTGCTGTTGTGTGTGCTTGTCCGCGGCGGGGATATCGGGATGTAGGCGGGTAGACCTAGTTTCCTCCGTAGAGGGAGCGAGGCGCGGTAGTTGCGGTAGACGTTTTTTAGGCCCGTTTTGTAGAAGGTCACGTATGCGCGGCCGAATTCGACATAGCGTTTTAATTTGTCTGCTGCGCCTGCGGTGGGATGTAGGGGGGATGGGGTTGTGAGGGCGGCAGGATGTGTGCTGATTGGGGCATTTATTTCGGTTTTGGAGGGGGGTTAAGACGGTGGTGGTTGTAGGGGATGGTGATGAGGGTCTGCGGGATTGCTGGCGCGGGCCGGAGGTTGAGAAGAGCTGGGATTGCACGCAGATGGGAAGTGATTGGGATTGGAGGTGAGCGTGGAAACGATAGTGACTCCAAGGTTGGAATTGAGCATGGAGGGCTCGCTGGCCCCGAGTTATGCTGGCCATTGTTGAGGTGATGAGAGAAGATGAAAACAAGGCTGATTGATGTTATCAGTGATTGATACCTTAGGCATCAATCTTGTCTATCTTGTCTAATATGGTGTTGAGTGATTTGAGGGCTAAGAGTTTCATCATGACATCTCCCGTTCCAATTGGATTGAAGAAAACCGTCGTAAGAAGCCTGGTATATATATGCTCGATCTAGTTTTTGTAGGGTAATTAATGTACACCAATTCAAATCAAAGGCAAGATCTACTCTCCTCTGCACGGACTTCGATGTTTTCGATGAGCCCATTGCCCAACCTCGCAATCTCATTCAGAATAGCCGTCTGGTTGATTACGACCTCACCCTTGGTATCACCTGGAGCGGTCGAGTACGCCGTCTTCAGGTTCCAAGGCCGCGACTTCAGGGTCTGCGGGTTCCAAAGACCAGTAATCACTGCACAACGATCGTCTCCGTGGAAGAGCAAGATGCTCTGGCTGTAGCAGGCTTGTACATCACATACAAACGACTTGATGGTCTGCATCATTCCAGCACGGGGTTCCGCCAAGTTCTTGAACTTGGGTGCTGAGGCGCCGCTAAACAGCTTTGGGCGAAGATGGATGACAAAGTCGTAAGGAGCAAGAGAGGTATCAAACAGCTCGGAAACATCTATATCGTGGGTCTTGCTTCGTAGCAGGCTTACTGCTGCTTTCGCCAGGCTAGAAGTTCGAGCAGCCACAACCTTGGAGGGCATCTCGTATTGAGTCCAGGTGACCCCTTCCGTATCAATGTCAGACGCGACGAAAAAGGCCAGGCTGTTCATCGCAGGGTCGATGCTGCGCCAGGCTGTGAAGCGAGTGCGGATATTTTCCGTCACTTGTGGTGTTAGATCACCTCCCAGGTCAACAATGAAGGGCTCCTGCTGCCAGTCCCACCGAGAGAGGGAGTGAAGAGTCCTTAGGAATCCGGTCATGACAGACGAAGGACATTCCCAAGGGTTAGGTTGAGTGAAGGTGCGAATTACCAGCAATTCAATCAACTCATCGCTGATTTGGGCAGTAAACAGGTGAGAGTTAAACCATTGCTTGGTAAGACGAATGGTGGGCGACAACAAGGGGAAGCGTGTGCACAGGCTTCGGAGTGCCTGTGTCAAGCGCGGAGTTTGGACAAAGGTTTTCTTGTAGGCGAAGAGAGCATAGGCTGCCTCTTCTCGTTCCCGAGGACTCAGATTTCGGTCCTTGAGATTGCGCTCGAGTAGGGTTTGTTCACGCTCGTGGTGAATCCTCAACCGGAACAACACGCCAGAAGAATGGGGGATTTCCAGATACGCATTGTTGATCACCTTGCTCGATTCATTTTCGAGGCCTACACGGCAAGACGAGGCAGCACCTGATGACTTCAGAGAGTCTCCAATTTTCAAAAGGAATGCAACCTTGGTCATTTGGATGGCCGCGAAGTCATCAGGCCAACGCGAGGAGCTTTCAAACTGAAGTACAACGTCTGTGGCTCCCGTTGGTCTGAGGGAGGTATAACGAAGAAGCGAACTAGCCGGGGCCAAGTGACGTACCTCCAGTGGCACTTCGTCCATGCTGCGAATAGACCTCTCAAGATCGTTGAAAGCATCATCGATTGACTGGAAAGCAGGGCTGGAGTATGCTAGAATGCCATCGCCATGCTCCTTAAGGAGCTCGTCATATTCATCACCAACAAACGCGAATTCATCGGCGGTGATCTTGAAGTGCCGCTGGAGTATGTACTCCAAAATCTGATAGATGACAGATGTGTCTGACTCGTCAGACCACACAAGACTCTCCAGGATGCTGCCATCCTTGAATCGTCGAAGCTCCGACTTTTCACCCCAGAAAGCTTGGAACGAAGCAGACTCTTCTTTTTCTTCTGCGGCCGGACCGTGGTCGACAATTCGTCCGACGTTTTCAGCATTCAACAACAGTCCTACAGACACACCCTGGCTCGACCGTTTGGGCTGCTTGGACTTGACTGACCACGAATCAACGGCGCGGCTCACAATAGAGACAAGTTTGACTCTGTCTCCCAGAGCCCGGGAAAGAACATTATACAAAGCATTCTGCTCGTGAAGAGCGCGGAGCGTGTCTCCATTGAATGACTTGGGGAATGAGATCAAGCGGTCAAATCTGAGGGCTGGTTCATCAACCTTTAGAATGAAAACCTTATCGAAGTTGTCCTCTCGTGACTCATTGAGCATTTTTAGGGTGACGGCGGCTTCATGACGCAGTGTTGCGTATGACCAAGGCGTCATTTTGTAAAGAATGTTCAACCCTCTACGGCCATCAAAGACAACGGGGACCCCGGAAGGAACTGGGACCTCTTGGCCAAAGAATAAAGGAGTGGTCAAATCCCTGCCGGCCAAGAATTGGATGGTGGCCTTGAAAATTTGGTAGCAGCTATATGATGGCAGCAAGACCGGTTGTCCAGCCGGACCACCGCCTTCAAACAGCAAAGACAGAAGTACAGTCCATTCGAAACCACCAAAGCCTCCATTCTGGAAGGGGGTATGGAAGCCTCTTTGTTGCAACCAAGTGCGGCCAAGAATGCATGCATCGCTGAAAGAACTGCATTTCTTGGAGGCCGAGTAGATAGACTTGTGGTAGAGAGAGACTGTGGCATCGGAACGGAGGCTGGCATTGTAATACGAGGTCGGTTCGCCGATCTCCGAGTTATTGGAAGCTTGGCGGATATTGCTTTTGAGTGGAAGCGTTCTCGTGACCGGGAACAACGTAGGATCGATTGCGGTCAGAATTCGGATGGTCGGCCCAGATGATTCGGCTTGACGCGGTTCCAACAAGATGAGAGGACGGAGGCTGTCTCCATCCTGGGGGCCAAATTTGATATCAAACCCTAGGGTATCCGCGGTGTCTTGAATCCCAGCGGCCACGCAAGCGATATAATAGGCGCGTTTGTGGAAGTATCTGAAGTTGACGTAGTCCTTCTCCTGGAACAGCGAACTTGGCATAGTGATTGCCAGATCAATTGGGCGCGACTCCAAAGTGCGAGCGCCTGTCTTAAGCGCAAAGCTACCTACCACGTTGATGTTCGCTGGCTTTGCGTATGCCATGCTGTACTTGACATCTTTGCTTGGCCGAGGCTCGGGCCATGGAATCACCAGACCAGAAGCACGTAGCTCCTTCTCGGCATCGGGGACAGATTGCGGAGACTTTTCGGGCAGGCCTTCAATGGCGGTCTTGATTTGGTGTAGTGTTTCCTGAACCTTTGAGACTTGTTTGCTGTAGTTAGGTCTCAATCCCTCCAGTAGCTCGTCCATTTGCAGCTTGAAGAAACTGGATTTGTAAAAGCCGCTGGCCATTGCAAGCTCTGCGGAGCGCTCATCTTTGCCTCGAGTCGGGTTTCGCTTCTCGGTCACTTTCGATGTCTGTTTCGTTGAAGAGCTAGTAACAGTATTCTCCGGGGAAGGACTGAGCTTCCTGCGCTTAGACGTGTGGTCCGGGTCCGACATTTTGTGAGCGTAGCAGTTGTTAGTAGACGAGTTTTTTTTTTTTTGGGCGATAACGGTATTGTATCCGATACGGTACGGCTGACTCATTCGTATTTTATGAGGTCAGGTACTGCGGAGCATCGCCGAAGTCGCAAGTGGAGGGGATGGCATCATTTACAACCTTAAAGTCTCTTTTTTCCTTTTTGTTCTCTTTCTTTTCAAAATAAAGATCAATAGATCATATTTTCTAGCTCATTTCTATTTTCAATTGAAATGTTGCAGGCTTTGGGAGGACCTGTGCCTCCAAACACTGACCATGTATGGTTTACCTCCCCGCAACCCCTCCATGACTCTTCTAACATTTTACAAAGGCTGTCAGTGTATCGCTTCCATCATGGAGGGAAAATGTTGGCTACGAAGAAGGAGAAGATTGGGTTATTAGCAAGATGAAATGCGGTTACCCGAGATTCTTCGTCCATCCTATTATCCAAAAGCTCGCCCAGGAGATTGTTCGTCGAGTCGGTGACCCCAACCTCGAGTCCGCAACCCTATTCCCATCGCTCAAGTCAGCGCGCATCTGCCACTCCTTTTTGCTCAGCAAAATCCCCGCAGAGAAGGCGTACAAAGCGCGCATTGTCAACTTCATCCCATCCCCACATACCGAAGCGGGATCAACAGTGACGTCTTCCTTGTCGTGTGTCATCTACCCAAAGGAATACGCCTCTATTACCAAGCAGGTATGGCAACACTCGGGCAATGGCATCTCCAGTCGACGAGGTGAGTTCTGCCTTGGAGCATTGGAGGACGGGTTTTTGGTGGAAGATAAAGGCTTTGCGACTGCGGAGTCAATCTCTCAGCGTCCTTGCAAGGGACCCCGCAGATACCAAAGCGTCAATGGAGCGAGGAAGGGCTCTGTTGGGGAATCTCCTCCCAAATCAAACACAGAAGATGGCCGAGACTATGCTCAGTTTATTGAGGAGCGGTTTGGCCGCAATCTCAGCACTTCTCTCGCCAATCAGGCCAAGCTGGCTGTTCGCAAACGTATTGCCGGTGTCTTGACAGCCGATGCTGAACTGCCAGAAGCCCTGGAGACGGCTTCATCAGAAGGTCGAGTCGCCGGCATTTCTGAGGAGGATGTCCTTCTTTACCCTTCGGGTATGAGCGCCATTTTCAACGCTCATCAAACCTTGCTGGCTACTAGAGGCGATTTGCCCTCAATTTGTTTCGGGTTCCCTTATACGGATACATTGAAGATTCTCCAAAAATGGGGACCAGGCTGCGTATTCTATGGTCACGGCTCCTCGGAAGATCTGGATGATCTGGAATCCCGACTGAAGGCTGGTGAGCGTTTCCTTGGGCTTTTTACCGAGGCACCAGGTAACCCTCTTCTCAAAACACCGGACCTCAAACGGATTCGCGCCTTGGCAGACCAGTATGGGTTTGCTGTGGTAGTCGACGAAACCATCAGCAACTTTTTAAACATCAACGTTCTGCACTTGGCAGACATAGTTGTCAGCAGCTTGACCAAGATTTTCAGCGGAGATAGTAACGTCATGGGAGGAAGTGCTGTGCTCAACCCTCATGCACAGTATTATGCCGCCCTCAAGGAAACTTATAACCGAGATTATGAAGATACCTACTGGGCGGAGGATGCCGTTTTCCTAGAGAGAAACAGTCGTGATTTTATTTCTCGCGTTGAACAAATCAATGCTACCACTGAGGACATTACAGCTATGCTGAAGGAGTCCCCATTAGGCAAGTATTCATTTACTTTGGATTGAGAGCTATACTGACCATTTTCACAGTGAAAGAAGTTTACTACCCGAAATACAGCCCCACGAGACCACTATATGATAGCCTCCGCAATGCCAATGGTGGTTATGGTGGTCTCTTCTCTGTCACGTTCCACTCCACAGCCGAGGCGATTGCCTTTTTTGACACGATCGAGGTTTTGAAGGGACCCAGTCTTGGGACCAACTTTACATTGAGGTGAGTACACAGGCCCCCTCTATCTCGGGTTTTGCTAACTTGTCAGCTCTCCGTACGTCCTTCTGGCTCATTACGGCGAACTAGACTGGGTATGTACACCAATCGTATGTTGGGCAGGCCATAACTAACACATGTCAGGCGAGATCTTTCAATGTCGATCCGGATCTAGTGAGAATCAGTGTCGGACTAGAAGACGTACATGATCTGCGCTCCAGGGTACAACGGGCCTTGGACGCAGTGCGCAGTGTCCGGCAGTCAAGTGCATAGTCTACCCCAATTCGATCAACGTTGGCTTGTGCACTACACAAGGACTTGGACTTTTCCTGGGATATCCATATTTGTAAATTCCGGTATATATCACGAATAAGGCAGACTATCATAGCTTCTCACACTGTACCATGAAGAAAACGAGATCCTGCTCGAAGCCCTTCACTAGCCAAAGCCAAACAGAAACGGTTCGACCTGCTAAAATGTACGATCTGACAGGTCATCGCCTATGGTACTCACGGCCCGGCTTGTGATGCCCAGGTCTTCACTGGCTGTCTTTCTCAAGGCCTGTCGCATGGTTTCTACATTCAGATCTCCCCCAAAACTGGAAGAGACGGGGCTTTGGGCAGCACTAGCAGTAGTAAACCGAGTAGGAGACATGTCAAGCCCTCTAAAGGAGGTCGCGATGCTTGTTGGCGGCGAAGTGCCGAGTCCGTGCGAAGAAGATGGAGAGAGCAACGGAGATGGGGATTGGTTGCGATCTCCTAGGCGCTCCCGAGACATTACGCCAAGATGAGCTTCATTTGTTTCTGCATGCTCGGCGTTGACAACGTCGGCAAAGGAAATAAAGCTCAGCCGACGTACATCTGTCGTGTCCAGTGCCCCAAAACTGGACGAAGGTTCATCTCCATCGGCCTGGCCCAAGATATGATCGATGCCTGAAGACGACATCGACTGCTCCCCCGATGGACCACCCGCTGATTGATGTAGGTTATGCGTGACAATCTCAACCGAATCTGGATCGAGGCGATCATCTGTGATCGCGGCCGAGGATGCTTCCAGGACAGGTGGAATATAGTTATCGGTTCGAATATGCGCAGGTATCGAAGGCGATGCCTGTGCTGGCACTATATCTTCTTGCACATCTCGTTCGAATATCTGAGAAGCGGGGGAATGTATATGGGGCGGCAGATAGGGATGAGCTTTCGGGTGAGGGATGTCTCATGTATCTGGTCGAATCATGATTCGGTGTCTGCAGGGCTTCGGATGATCTCACAGATGATATGCAGCCGTCGATTTGATTCTTGTCCCATGTGAAAGCAGGAGGCTTCGGGGCTCGTTTACTTGCTCCAGCCTCGTTTGGCTTCTGATCTGTCTGAACTGTCGAGTCCGACATTGCGATAAGATAAACTATCAAAATCCGACAGCCATGATCGATAAAGTAGAATAAATGGGAGTTGGTAGAAGTCTCGGTGATGACATCTGTGAGACACCAGGTGACCCGGGCATCATTACCCTATAATTGTACTCGTGTGGGGAGATACCTACTCTGTATCGAGTACTTTTGATTGAGCAGTGATTGGAAGCACTTGCTGAGTACCAGATACATAAGTACGTTTTCTTTACGGTATGGTAAATACAGGCCAAGGAGGGTCACGAGACCAGGGAAAAAGTTCGGGTTCGAAGCGCGAGAGATGCCAACACGTCCAGTCCTTCGACTCCAAAGTTCAATCCTACCCTTTAGGTCAGTTCTAACCATTACAAACAATATAATTGAAGACTTACTAACTCTTTCTTTTCTATTATTCCAGTTTCTGATCAATTTCCCCCCAATTGACCAGAAGTAATGGCGACCTCCATTGCCGCGACGAAGCGGCCATTCCTCACATTGCCATTCCTTATTCCCTCCTTGTCGGATTCTTTGGCACTAGGATTTCGACGAAACCAATCTTCATACCGACGGACCAAGCAGCGACTACGTGTGAAGCCGGATTCCTCATTTGACCCATCTAACCTTGGTCACGATCACATTATCCACAACCCGCCATCCAGCGCTCCAAATGCCTACCACACCCCATCCAAATTCTTACCTGCTGATGATATCCGGAAATCATCCATTGTTTCCTCCACTACCCTCAACGCCGACGATCTTCCGGGTGTTTACAAGTCTATGCCCGAAAGAAAATATCACCTCACCCCTTCAGACATTGAAGAAATCCGCAATCTCCGCATGAATGATCCCATGACCTGGAGCCGAAACAAGCTCGCCAAACGGTTTGAATGCTCACCCGTTTTTATTGCCATGGTCTGCCAGGCAAGCCCGGAGAAGAGGGAGATTCAGGCCCGGATCTTGGAGGCGGTGCAATCGCGATGGGGACCCAAGCGCCGCATGGCCAGAGAAGACCGTCAACTGCGGCGCGAGGCCTGGGGACGAGATGCATAGTGGGAGCATGATCCAGTTTCATTAAGGATCTGTTTTTGTAAAGAAAATCCATGTATTCTAGCTTATTTATATTTTCTTCTAGCATTGTTTATGTATTCCATACCTATTCTATATACTTGTCAAGGGCTATATACAACATAGACAACATAGACAACATAGAATAACCATGATAACCATGATAACCATCAAGGTAGAAAATCTACATATAAAATATTTTGTATGTCTCAGTTGAATAGCCTACAAGATGAGATAATACAAAATATATTACGTGATAAGAAGTCACCCTTGACTCCTCCGGTTCCTCAGGGAAAAGACGGCAATGCCCCTCTTTCCCCTCCGTCGTGTTCCATTCAAAGGTCCTTTTTCCTCTCGATTCTCTTCTCCATTCTCCTCTCGATTTTCTCCTGTTCGTCCTCCTCTCTCCCGTTTCTTCTACGGCTATATCAGTGATTCCAAAATGGCGCCCCAGTTAGAGCCCTTCTTCAAGCAGTAAGTATGCTATCTGCTATCTTAAGAGACTTCCAACTAACAGTCAAGGGTCGACGACTCGTCCAACGATTTCATCGATCGTATGTAATACTTGTTTCTGGTTTCTGGAAAGGTTGCTGATACTGGTCAAGGTCTACGGAAGGCGGTTGCGATTCCGTCTATCTCGGCACAAGATGAGAACCGACCGGATGTGTTCCGCGTGAGTTTACCAGCAGATCCACAAATACGGGGTCTAATCTTTCTAGATGGGACAATTCCTTGCCGACGAGCTCACAGCTCTTGGAGCCGAGGTCGAGCAACGACCATTGGGCAAGCAACCTGGCAAAGAGCACCTCGAGCTGCCACCTGTAGTGGTCGCGAGATACGGTAACGATAAGAACAAGCGCACTATCCTGGTTTACGGACACTACGACGTGCAGCCTGCTCTGAAGGAAGATGGCTGGGCTACTGAGCCCTTTGAGTTGACCATTGACGAGAAGGATCGGATGTATGGCCGTGGCTCTACCGATGACAAGGGTCCCGTTCTGGGCTGGCTCAACGTCATCGATGCCCACCGCAAGGCCGGCATCGAGTTCCCCGTCAACCTGTTGTGCTGCTTCGAGGGAATGGAGGAGTATGGATCTGAGGGTCTGGATGACTTCATTCAGGCCGAGAGCAAGAAGTACTTCAAGGACACGGACGCCGTTTGTATCTCTGACAACTACTGGCTCGGCACTGAGAAGCCCTGCCTCACCTACGGTCTGCGCGGCTGCAACTACTATTCCATCAGCATTTCGGGCCCCGCTCAAGATCTGCACAGTGGTGTCTTTGGCGGCTCTGCCCATGAGCCCATGACTGATATGGTCAACGTCCTGTCCAAGCTGGTTGATGCCCAGGGTAACATCCTGATTCCGGGACTCATGGATCTCGTGGCTCCTCTGACTGAGGAGGAGCAGACCCTCTATGGAAACATCAGCTACAGTATGGACAACCTCCATGAGTCGTTGGGTGCTGAGACAGGCATCCACCCCACCAAGGAGCGTACTCTGATGGCCAGATGGCGTTATCCCTCTCTGTCCATCCACGGTATCGAGGGTGCTTACTCCGCCCCCGGTGCTAAGACGGTCATCCCCGCTAAGGTTGTTGGTAAATTCTCTATCCGTACCGTGCCTAACATGGAGAGCGAGGATGTGAACAAGCTGGTCTTCGACCACATCAGGGCCGAGTTTGCCAAGCTGAACAGCAAGAACACTTTGGATGTTTGGCTGCAGCACGACGGCAAGTGGTGGGTCGCCAGTCCCAAGCACTGGAACTTCTCGGCTGCCAGCAAGGCTGTTGAGCAGGTCTTCGGAGTTGAGCCTGATATGACTCGCGAGGGTGGAAGGTAGGGCTTTGTTTTTTCCCCCCCCACTAAACCAATATAGTTCCACAGCTAACCATTGATAGTATTCCCGTCACATTGACCTTTGAGCAAGCCACCGGCAAGAACGTCTTGCTCCTCCCCATGGGAAGCTCGACTGATGCTGCTCACTCTGTCAACGAGAAGCTTGACAAGAGAAACTACATTGAAGGAACCAAGCTTCTGGGAGCTTACCTGCACTACGTTGCGGAAGAGCCTTCTTCATAGATATAATTATGCATGCAATTTTCATCTACTATTTCAGCAGTATGTACCAAATTACAAGCAATTCATCAATACGCCTTGGAATAATATATCTATTACACGCATAACGACATCGGAAGCATATACTATCTCCGTATTCAAAAAAGGATTGATTACTTATTGCGCTACTTAGGTAGGGGTAACATAGAGACAGACAACTCCAAATGACTAGCCAAAGAGCCATCAAGGAAGATCTAAGAAAATGAAAATGCATCAATCGCTATAGCGGCGCTCGAGAATTCCAATGCAGACACCAAGTAGGCAAACACGAGAAAACGATTAAATCAAGAGCAAGACGCCGTCAAGTGCAAAGCAATTCGAGATTAGTTGCTATATATCCGTTAGTATCTTGTCCAGGAACCAATACAGAGTGACAACTTACTAGATCTCCAGAGGAGAAATCTGGTCCAAAGCGTAGAGCCAGTTTCCACCTTGTTCCTCTTTCTCGAGCCTAGATGGGGTTCGTCAGTGGATATGTTCTCGGGTCCAATCGAAGCGAAAGTTGAGACATACCAGTCATAGGGCCACAAGATGAGATGGCCTTGAGTGTTGTTAAGGAGGTCCTCTGCACGACCCTTATCCAAATACTCGTCTGCGCCATGAGGGTCACGCTTCGAGCCAATCGTTGTAGCTCTGCGTCTACGTCTCCGAGACTGGCTCGACGAGTTCAAATTCAGGTTCACGGCTTCAGAGTAATCGACATGACCCGGGGTTGTCCGTGACTTCTCCATATCCTCACCAGTGGCGACGCCATTTTCGTCGCTGGTCCCGTTCGAAACATTGGCCAAGAGGTTCGGATCCGACACCGTCTTGAGTGCGGCCTTCTCGTCTATAGACGATAATGTCTCTTGCTTCGCTAGCTGCTCAGACTGAGGACGACCAGTTTCGTTGCCAGTCCCGACCTTCTCGTCAATGGCCTGGGGGCTCTTCGGGTCTGCCTGTGGTCCTTCGGCCCTTGGGGTAATGAAAGACATCTGAGAAGCGATCGACATAGGAGAGCCGACCGTAGCACCGGCTGGAGGAGGACCATTTTGTTTTGGTTGAGGTTGGGCTGGCTTGTTGCCCTGTTGGCTCTGCACCTCTGCAAAGCGCTCGCCATATGTGGCATACTCTTTGTATTCCTTCCAGTTCTTCACCTCGCTGTCGGGCATACAGCGGAACACAGATCGGTAAATCTTAGTGTTCTTCTCGGCGACGGCTTGCCACGTGTCCAGATAGAAGCCATCGATGATCGGGTCCCTCATGCAGTCGTTATCGATGAAGATACGCTTGACTTCAGGAACAGACGGGTGGTGGTGCTTAAGGGTTTCATTGTCTTCTCTTGGTGTGTTCAAACTGGTACCGCCGGTCTCGGACTCGCGGGTCGACGATCCAGTAATTCCATGGCCTTGCGACGGCACACTGCCATTGATCTCAGAGCTGGCATTGGTCTCACTCGATGACCCAGGTCTGCGGTCCTTGCGGGTCGAGGGTGCTCCAGGGGGCTTTTGCTGCGATGATCTCGGTCGCTCTTTAGTACCCTTCCCCTCAGGAGCAATAGGTGAAAGCAGGGCTTCTCTTCCATTGGTCTCCATCTCCGAATCACGACCGACTGTTAATCCGGCCTGAGCAGCGGCTGTCAGGTGATCGGGGCCATCACCTTCCACGTCTTTCCTGTGGTCAGGATTTTCAGTGACGCGAGGATCGGCAGTGAGCTTGCGGTTCGACTTGAGGTTAGGGTTACCACCCTGCTCCCAATCGACATCATGGTTGAAGCTATACATGTCCTCAGAGCGAGAAAGGAACTCATCCTGGACACGATGCCGACGTTCGACCATTTCCCTCTCATCTTGTCGTTCAATGGCCGAGGACGCTGAATTTCTTCGCTCTCGGTTGTCAACTGGGTGCTCGCTCCCCTCGGCGACCTGGATCTTGCGTAGCTCTTCTTCGGTAGCAAAGTCATGTTCCATGAGTTCGTCGACATCAATTCCGAGATGTTCTCTCATCAGACGCATACGCAAGGTATGTGGGAATCGACCTACAAGGTATGGCTTGCCATTCATGCTCGACATCATCATATCGGTGTCTCGCACGACAGATGCAACCTCTGAATCACGCGAACCCAACATGGATCGTTCGTTGATGTTTGCTGATCCAATGATAGCAGCACGATCGTCAACGATCATGCATTTGGCGTGAATATAAAGTTGCTCAGTCACCAGTGCCTTGTGTGGTCCAATCTTGCCCATGTTCGCAGACTGTAGAACTGGATATAATCCTCTGGCTCGATCCCAAGAGCACGAAGACGGCCAAAAATAGATGTCTCTCCGCGGCAGATACTGCGGTATTGACACTGCATGATAAGACGAACACTTGTTCCACCTTCGCTGTCCACGGTGTTCTGGAAGCCTGGCATCAATGGGATGACAATGACGGCGCGCCACGCTTCCTCATTTTTGGCAGCTCGGACAATACGTTCCACTAGGGCATCTCCAATGAGGTTCTCGATCTTTCGGCCCTCAATCTCGCAGGTGCTGATGAAGAACTGATTCTCGATGTAGACGAAATGCTCGGATTCCTCAATCAACTTCACATAGGCATTCATGATGCTGTGCTCGACGACATCGGGTGTTCCTGTCGACCACATGCTGCTAGACCGGAGGATTTGTACCTCGCAAGTTCCATCAAGACCCAAAGCTTCTAAATCAGCGGGATTGAAATCGGGTGGCGGCAAGAGGAAAGGGGTCGGCCGCGTGGGCTTTCGCTGGCGAAGAATGTAATTCCAGCGTTGCACGAAATGGCGAGTCAGATCCCGAGCAGGTTGGCCCACGACATGCATAGAAATGTCATGCCACGGCATCCGGGGCACAACATTGCGATCATACATCTCCTCATACGGCTTATCAAGGTCATAGAAGTCTTGGATTCTAGGATTGGAGTAGTCCTTGCCCGGCCAGAGTTGACAATGATCTGCATCTTTGGGGCCATCAGTAGATTCAAACCCGGTAGGCTTGTCATCGGTCAATTGATGTTGAGGAGTATCCCACCGCCCAAAGCACAGATCGATACCTCCAACGAATGCGATAGTGTGGTCGATGAGACAAAGCTTCTCATGGTGGGCCCAGAAGAAAGTATTTTGGCGGAACTGATTTGGTGATCGCTGAACGAAGATGTTGGGATGAAGATCAAGGAGAGAGAATTTGGAATATTCCGAATCAATGGGAATGGCGGAGTTGATGTTGCGATACATGATCACGAAGACTTTGACGCCTTCCCGGGCTTTCTGTTGCAGGAGACGGTCCAATCGCCATTTCTGGCTGATGGCAGCAGGCCGACGCATGTAAAGCTCTGGACTCAGCCACCAGTCGTGGATATAAATGACATCCTTCGCCTGGTTAATTGCTCGAGAGACAACCCACATGTGGTCTCGCGCATCAACCAGCCACTGCGCAAAGCAGTTTTGTCGCACAGGCGCGAAACTGTCGAACCGGTTGGGGCGCAGCCACGGAGTGTTAGCAACCATGAAGCGAATCGAGTCTTCAAACTGTTGCAGTTGACGCTCATTCCGGGCCAGCAGTTTGAGCTTGCGCTCAGAATTCTCAAGCCGGAGAGTGTGGTGCTGAGGGTGTCTCGCAGACTGCTTTGCAGACTTGGCAAGATCCTTTGGATTTTGCTTGCGAAGACTAAGCTTCGGTGTCTGAATCTTGAAATGGGAATCCACCAAGAAGACATCATAAATATTCATCTCCTCGGGCGAGTCGACGCAGACTACATAGCTGTGCCTGACCAAAAACCACTTGGGTGAGTGGCGATTCTTGACCAGAGACGGGGTGAGCGCCTTTCGGAAATCAAGACCCTTGGAGGACTGGATTATCAGGAATCCTTCTTTGCCATGATAGCTGCCTTCGGCGGCTAGACGGACACCGAGAGCGGACAGCTCCAAGAATTTACATAGGCGATTGCTGTCAGCCCTGAAGATCAAGAACCTAATCATCTTCTGTAGATAGAGCTCAAGCTTCTTTCGCTGCTTCCCAGGGTATGTTTCTTTCCTGGCTCCACCTTCATGGGTAGATGAAGGTCCTGCGGCTGAGTCTCCTTCTTGATTGGTGATGCTCGACTTTCTGCGAGCAAGCGGACCAGATACCCGACGCTGGTGTGCTTGCTGGTTCTGCTTTTTCTTCGTCGGGGGCCTCTCTGTTCCACTCATTCCCTCCGCACCAGTCTCATAGCCGCCCTCTTCATCTTCGTCCTCAAATTCACTTTCAAGGCCTCGTACACCTCGCATATAGGGGAAGGCACTTCTAGGGAATCGAGGGAGACTCGGGCTGTTCTCACTCGTTCGCAGCTGAATGTACTTCTGGGTTCCCAGATGAAGCTTATACTTCAGATGCAAATTGGCAAAGTCCCTTAGCGTGCGGAATATGATCCATTTCATGCGAGTCATGCCACTTCCGTACTCCATTTCGATTCGGAAGACCAGATGACGATCACCGGAGTGGGAATCAATCCGGCTGTCCGTAACACGGACCTTCAATTGCTCCAAAAGGATCGGGATTCTCTTGCTGCCGTGCTCATCTCGTTGGAACGCGCTGGCCAGTATAAGCGCAGCAGGTACGGCCGAAGCGAGTTCAGCAAGCAACTCTGCGGACTTTTTATTGTCCACTGCGTTATCTGGTCTTCGTCGCTGCCCAATGAGTTTCAAACCAGCTTTAATTTGCTTCCATCGCTGAGCACTGGCACTGGTGCCTCGCTCGGTTCGATGGCGTCTCCAGCTCGCCGTTAAGCTTTCATCGTTTCCAGATGGTCCGGCAAACCCGGTCAATCGCCTCAGGTTGCTCGGACGCTGTTCGTCCGGATTGGCATCCGGGCGGTCAGTATAGCTGGAAACCCGAGTATTTGCCCATGGCCGGCTCCTCATCCGCCGGCTGAGCCTCTCGCGGCCTTCGTCTTCTGAAACACCTTCGCGCTGTTGAGGTGTGAAGTCTGTAGTGCTTGCTCTTCGGGGAAATAGATTAGTACGATAGTTCTCAAAAGGTGCGAAGGAGGATGAGAAGTGGAATGATGGTCTGCGTGTCGTTTTAGGCGTTGTAGGGGCGGTGTTGGAGCCAGCTTCCTCCTCCCATTGCTTCCGCCGCCGTTGCGTTTTTCTTTTTTCACGAGTATCACGTTGCTCGCCGCCGCTCTCTTCCGCATCGGCATCGATCTCGCTGCCCTCTTCTTGCAGGGGCTCTGGGAAGCGGAATTCCCCTCTTTCCGACCCCGGGGTAGCTATATCGCCTGGAGCTGGGCGGAAGTCCGTACTTGCACCGCTAGGGGATCTTGAGTGTGATGTAAAATTGGGTGCGGTAGCGAGTAACTTCAGTTTGCCGAACAATGACTGCCTTCCTTTGGGACCCTGATCATCATCGTCACCGTGTTCAGAGGCGGGTCGAGATTGCGACCGGGAGTGGGACGCGTCGGGAGCCTCGGTGTCTGTATCTCTGAATTGTACACTTTGGGCACGGGATGGAGGGGACATTCCGGGGTTGGACGACTGGCGTTGATGGCGACTCCATGGTTGGGGATCCTCGGCTGACCGGTTTGGTGGTCGAGTGCTCAGGGATGACCTGCCCCTTGGTGAGCTCTGCTTCAAAGATGATGGACGCGCATTTTCCTTGTCGCCTAGTATTCCACCTGTTTCATGATCGTCCGTGGGCTGGGTCTGCTTGGTTGAGGCCGCTTTGTTGGATTCAGTGGAAGAAGGCAAAGGGGATGCCAATCTTGATTTGTTCGAAGCCCAAAGGGGCTCTTGCTTCTTTGTGTCGACCTTCAATGAGCCAGTTTCCACATCCTGGTGAATTGAAGAGGCCGACATGTTTGGATTCTGGGGCTAATGCAAGGTGGTTATCAGTTGCAGTTCACGGGATCAACCACTTTTACTTTGTACATACTCAATACACTGTCGAAGAATGACAAGTGACCATTGTCCTAGGATTCAAACAAGTTAAATCCAAGGTGGTTAAAAGAACGGTGAGAACGTGTTGACATTAAAAGGAGCAATAGATAAATTAGTTTACAGTGGAGCTGATCTCCGACTGGAGAAAGCGGGCGGTCTGGGAAAAAAGGGGTTGACACTGCACGTTATGTACGGAGTATAATATATGATATTAGCGGAGTATCTACTATGTTGTACATATCTAGTATCAGTAGTATGGAGTATAGAGTATAGAAAGAAATTTTGATTGAATTGAACTGGATTCAGAGGTGTTTCTTCTTTAATGTCTGTAAAACAAAGTGCCCATGTTATGTCCTCAATCGAGGACCTTGGAGTAACACACTGGAATCCAACTATATATATAAAAATTGAAACGATTTATCTTGCAACTGTCAAGAGCATATAGAGAATATACAACCGAATACTCTGTAATAGTCTCGGGAACTACAGTATATAAAGCGAAGGCCTCGGCTTTTATAGTATACCCGAGTTGCCCTTTAAGATAGCCATTTATCTCCCCGCTATTTAAAACCCATCTTCAACAAACTCCACATCATATTAGGTATTCTTATTACCTGTTCAACCATGACTGATCCATTAAAGTCCTTAAACGATTCAGGCAAGCCCGCACCGGCCATCTCCCAGAAGGTCTACGCAATTGCTGGCATCTCAGTAACAGTCTTTGGACTGGAAGAGCTCCGCAAAGAGGCCTCGGAGGTCGCATGTCTCTGGCTCCTTCACCCCAGATTAGCCACCCAGGAACGTATGACTGGCATTGCCAACTCCACCATCACCGACTGGAACACTAGAAACCAGGACAAACCTTCGGCTAAGGGCCTGATTGCTGTCTCGTTCGACCAGCGAAACCATGGTACCCGGACAGTCGACCCTCTTGCCAACGAGTCTTGGAAAAAGGGGAACCCCCGGCATGCCCAGGATATGTTCTCCATCTTCCGTGAGTGGGAAAGAATTCATAAGGAAAGACATATACAATTCTAACACTAACTAGAGGGCACTGCAAGAGATACATCGCTCCTTATGGACTACCTTCCCTCTTACACATTCCCCAATGGTGAATACAAGATCACCGAGAACCTAGTTCTAGGAGTCTCGCTGGGCGGACACGCAGCATGGAGCTGTCTACTGCACGAGCCTCGAGTCACCGCCGGGGTCGTCATCATCGGCTGTCCAGACTATGTCAATTTGATGGCAGATCGCGCGCGGCTGTCGAAGCTGCCATCATGGACTAAGAGTGACCCGCCTGGCGCCGAGGTCCTTGGCTCAGAAGCCTTGCCGACTTCTTTCCTAGATACTGTCAATCGATATGATCCTGCCGGTATGATGTTGAAACATGTGGATTGCGGGCCGTCGACTGGTCCTTTGCGCGAAGGCCCATTGCCTCAGCCTTCAGATAGCGAGCAGCAGGTGCTCCGGCCGATTCTGACTCGTGCCTTGGCTGGCAAGCGCATTTTGAATCTGTCTGGTGGCAAGGACAAGCTTGTTCCCTATCATCGCGGGGAGGTGTTCCTGAACTGGTTTAAGGAGAGTATCTCGTCCAATGGGTGGTTCGGTGATGGTGCGGTGTCCTTGGAAGATATCATTGACGAGACCGCGGCCCATGAAGTCACTGCTAAGATGGCTGACGAGGCTGTTCGATTTATCAGTGAGACCTTGGCCGCGGGTCCCGATAAGGCGGGTCGACGGGGTTCGGTGCGAGAGTCGAAGATCTGAGCATTAGGCCGTGGTCGTAAATATTTCGATGTCTACAACATAGAATGGAATTAGATGCGATATGACAAGACGTTATCACCCCCGTAGTTCCTGCAATCGTAATGGGACATAGTGACGGACCCCAAATCTACGAAGATGACCGTAGCATTTAAAGCGAACCTGTGCAATAACCTTGGAGGCCTTTCATGCCCCCAGCAAGGCAGCCTCGGTCATCCTACATGAGCACGGCTCAATGATTCAGAACCAACACCTTGCCCTCCAGGAGTCATGGCGATGGGCACGCATGAATCACAAACATTTGAAAAAAATCCTCCTTATGGTATTTGTTTAACACACTGATGAAATCGTAAGGGCATTCGGAGGCCATATGCTATGCTGATTGCATACAAAAAAACCCTTTTTATTTTCGACCGCCCGAACCGACTTGGTTTCGGTTCGGGCAGATCTCATTTTGAGTTCCGATCGTCCTCCATGCTGGCGAACGAACACAGCTAGGGCTTCAAATTGCCCCTATTCACCCGCCTACTCCCTGAAATTTCTCGACGAATCAACGCTTATGCGACGAGCTCAACAACACCACCGGCGGCCTTGATCTTCTCCTCGGCGTCACGGCTGACGTAGCGGGCACGGACGACGACGGGGATCTGGGGAGACGGCCCTTTCCAAGAACCTTGGAGTAGCCGAGGGGCAGGAGGTCGATGACGGGGGCGACATCGGTCTTCTGGCCGCTCAGGTAGGCATCACGCTGTTCAGCGGGGACGAGGGACCAGAGCTGTAAAAAGAGTAAGTCGCAGTTAGCGAAAATTGTCCTTCTCAATGCAAATCCCGTAATTCCTTCTATTCTTGTCGATTGGCCTCCCTCCTCTTTTGCATTCCGTCGCCATTTGTACACCTCCCCTGCCAGACCAATCCACAATTTCTTCTCCTTCATATCCGAATCGACTCGCGAGATGTAGATGTAACGTACCTTGTCGACGTTGACAGTGGGCTTCCAGAACTGCTGGTTGGTCTTGTGGAAGTACCGCATACCAACCTTACCGAAGTAACCAGGGTGGAACTTGTCGATGTTGGTACGGTGGTGGTGCTGACCACCGGCCATACCGCGACCACCGGGGGACTTGCGGTGCTTGCCGATACGACCGTAACCGGCAGACACATGGCCGCGGCTGCGAGAAAATGACAGGTTAGTGATTTGTTGGTGCGATATTGCGACTGCGGTATGACGAATTTGGCTCTTCTAGTCGCGATCGACGAGAAAAGGATTTGATTCAGACGGCACAGGAAAGGGTGACGACTCACTGCTTCCGGGTGTTCGAGAAACGGGTAGGCATCTTGTCGGCGGGGTTGTTTCGACAAGACCGTTGATGTTTGGCGTTGAAGGGATCGTTCCGTCTACAGGATGTTGAAATCCAGGCTTAGAGTGTGCGCTAACAAATTCGCTTGTCCCGTGATTGTGGAACCCTAACCCTGGCTTTGTCAGAACTTATGTCATGTATGGTGTACTTAGGTACACCGCCCATCCCATTCTGCCGGTCTTTTACAACGTAGGGCTTTGGTACATGTACGAATGCCAAAGCGTCCGATGAGCGCGGATTTTCATTAGAAATATGATGCTGTATCATTTGTAGCGTTTTTATTACAGATTGTATCCCGCTATCGCCTTTTTTTCGGCGAAGAATTTTGAAAGTCTTTGCACGGTCATCTGAGCCGCCCGCGTGGGGGGGTGCTGGGACCAAGCTCCCTCTGATCCAACCAGGTAGTTTTTGCTGGATCCGCGGCGACTCATACCGGCGGTCAATCATGACGATGGCGGCATAGTCATTCACATGCCTGATTGCTCGTCCAATGCACTGGTTTACTGCTCGCATACACGAATTCTCGTAAAAGTCCCTGCCCGCTGCCTTACCTGCTGCTTTCCTTTCCGGCTCGGTCCCAGAAGCCTGCTTGTAGGTCTTCTCCTCGAGGTACTGGATTTTGGCCTGCCAGACAGCGCTGCGGATATTAGGAAATGGGAGGCCGATGATAAAGACACCGCGCCCTAGCTTGTCGGAGAAATTAATGCCTTCTGATAGCTTGCCGCCCACGATAGATAGAAGCAAGGCTCCTGATCCCGATTCAACGGCCTCGGTATACTCCTGCAACAAATCGTCTGTAGTGGTCACTGCTTCGCGAGATTCGTAGAGATCTTCTTCTTCCGTTCCAGTAGGTTGAGAGTGCTTTGGCCGTTTCCGTTGGGAATGGGCTTCTTCCATACACTCAGAACATGACTTAGATAGTCATAACTGGGGAAGAACGCGACGACGCCGTCTGGGATGACTTGACAGAGGGTTGCTATCGTACGCCCAAGGTCGGTGACCTAGAGAATATGTCAATAACAAACCTTGTCGAAGTGTGGAACTTAGTACATACCATTTTCTCGGAGTTTCGTGCCTCATATGTAAAATCAAATTCGTTTCCCATCAGCCCTTGAGTCAATGACTGCGCAACCAAATTGGATTTTGGAATGACATGGCCATAGCTGAAAGTTCCTAGTCGTTCTGGGGGCAGGTACGAAAACAAATGATTCACATAATCTGACATCTGTTGAAAAGCATTAGAAAGTTACAATGTCAGAATATATGAGCTGTACTTACAGGAGACATGGTACCGCCAGCTAGAATGACGGCCCTAGCATCTTCGGCAATTTCCCGAAAGTGGTTCGTAGGGTCCAGAAGCATGTACTTCAACAAGACATCATCTTGGCTTTTCTGAAAGAAGAGCCGCCCCTCTTGCGACGGGTTCATAAGAGGAAGAAGAAAGCTTTGAATATGAAACAAAACCGGCATTGTTGTCTTATCCTTGAATCGACCAGGTTGTGGTTGTTGCGAGGATTCAAGGTAGCCGTCAACTTTCCGGGCGAGCTTGCTCTCTTGCAGATACCTAGAGAGCTTATAAGGGTTGATCTGGTCAACTCCCTTTCCAGCCATGAGATCCGACGTTTGCACCGAGCCTTCTAGTGGTCCTTTTTGCTGAGAGATTGACTTCATATGCTCCGCAATGGAGCTCACCAACCGGATGACTTGCGCAACATAGTTTCGATTCTTCCCTTTCAGTCTGTTCTTGAACTTGCGGGCATATGTTGTCAGCTGGCCGATGGCAGTCTGAATTTGACTGAGTGAGACAGTCACCGAATGAATGCCAGCTATTGCATCCATGAGGTTGTGAGCTTCATCGATGATGACAATGTGGCCTTTGACGGAGAGATTGAGGGCCTCACGAGCTGATCTTTGCAGTAGCAAGGGATATGGAAGTGTGACAATCTGGTCTTGAGTTAGAGCCAACGTTATACATGTTCCGGGGTGAAACTGACCTCGCTGTGTTTGATAACTGGACGAGATGCGTAGTAAGGACATATTCCGAGCTTTTTCCCAACCTCGGCAATGTCTTCGATGTCCCTGACTGTCGCCAAAGCATGGTCCCTAAACTCCAGAGCCAGGGCCTCGTCGTCTTTGGAGGGAATAAATGAGCACTTCTTGTCGGCTGCTACACCCGCTTGCTGTAAATCCAAACATTTTTCGTTAATCGCGGTGTTGTTCTCCAAGGCTCGGACTTTTGGATTGATGCACAGGTTCTTTCTGGACCCAAGCGACAGGTGTTTCACACGCTCTTCGAGTTTGGAGAGGTCATCTTTGCTCTCCAGATCAAGGTCACTAGGTATACTAGATGGGAAGTTGACTCGTCGCAATTCACCAGCAAACTGGCTTAGCTGCGAATGCGTTCTTGAGCAAAAAAAGATCTTGATCTCATCATCTCCGTCATCCTCTTTATCTTTCTTTGTCGAGAATTTCCCTTGGAACCGTTCTAGCAAGGCTAAAGTGCTTGCAGACAGGCCGTCAGAATTCCCAGAGTCATTCTGCTTTTTCCGATTTTCTGTGTCGCTGTCATAGTCATCGAGAACAAATTGATCGTCTTCTTCAACAAGTTCCGGTGCTGAGTCGTCAAGTCGCTATTCTTTAAGTTGGTATAATGTTCTCTCGCCTCGATCGGGGGGGGAAGGGGAGGGATATGCATACCAGCTTTTTACGGGGTCGATCTGCGCTGTCCTGGGCCTGTTTCACACGTTCTTCCTCTTGTCGGATATTGGCTAGTCGGGCCTCGAATTCTTGTCTCTTTTCGGTAATAGCACGCCTGGATTCCCGTTTGGCATGTTCTATCATCCATTCGGGTTCATCGTCATCGCCTGGAATGTCAGAATGTCAGAATGTCAGATAGCTGATACCATGTCATATGTTTCACAATGGGACCCACATGTTGCATTAACGGTTTCCTGGAAGGCCTTTCGCTTGTGATCTCGAAGCCAGGTCAAAGAACCACAGATTAAGCTTAGAGATTTTCCAGTACCTGCATAATATTATGGTTAGATAAAATAATAGAATATAACTACCTAGGTAGGTAGATATAATAAAGAATAAGCAGCTTACCAGTTGGGGATTCAAATACAGCGATCTTGCTATCTTCTAGGCAAGCGTACAAGGCCTGCATAAATTGGAGTTGAATATCGTAAGGCGTATAGGGATGGTGGAAATCCATACTCCGTGAGGAAGGTGTACTCCGTATACGTATACGAGAATACCTAAGTACGGAGTGTCTCTCGTAAAGGAAAAAAGGAAGATAAAAATAAAACGGTGGAGTCTTGTAAGGCAGAAGGGAAAAAAGGGGAATTTGCAATTACAATTATTTACATACATCTATACATACATCTATACATACATGTATATGTATACTCTGTAATAGTAGTACCATACTTTGAAATTATTGATTTCCATTTGTCTCACATCCATGGATATGTAATGTATGAGGCTGAGCCGAATATGTACCTAGGCATACAATATTCAAGATCTGATATTCCAAATTACTATTAAAAATACCACAATTCCAATGAAATACTATTAATAACCGTTTGACCTGGCGGGGGTGGGGTCTACTTTTTTTCCCTTAAGCCACTTTGGAACTCCTCTTTTCATTTCCCCCTCTTTCTTGAACTATTGGCACAGGGGGACAATTCCCTAACAAAATTACAATGAACAGACCACCACAGGGTGGTCAGCAACGCCTAGGTGCAACATGGTATCCAGGGGGGGCAAGATGACTTCTACATGCCAGAGGTCATATCCCCATCTCCCCAAAGGTATGGATTTGGATACACATCTATTTGCGATTTCTGCGATTGCTGCAAATGCCGAAAATACGAGTACTAATTCACTCTAGAGTGATGCCAGAAGTGCCCGAGAACATGCAGGACAATATTGCTGAGATGGAATACCGCGCTGACCCCCGCCGGCAACAACAACCGCAATACCAACGCGCCCACACCTATCCCGAGCGCACTTCCTCCGCCGTCCAAGGTCCACCCCAACACAGTCATGTTCATGATCCCAGTTCCTACGCGCAATCCGCGACCTATGACAGCATGGATCACCCGAATTTTTCACCTTTCCCGGTCTTGCGGAACCCACCACCTAACGTCCCGCCCACCGATGAACAGAGAGAAGCGAACTTGGAGCGCGCGCGGATGGCCGTGCTGTCCACCACAGACCCGGAAATGCAACTCGCATGGGCCTTGGACGCTCTCGCCTATGTCGAGGTCGCCGCGCAGAACGATGTCCGCCTCGGTTTGACCCAACCGCCGCGCCCGCAGACCCCGCAGGTGGAGCGGCAGTTAAGGGTCGACGCGATGAACATCGTCGGCTTTCTCGCCGAGCAGCGCCATCCCAAAGCCGAATTTATCAAGGGCATGTGGCTCGAGTTTGGCAAATTTGGCTGCCCCGTCGATCGCAAGGAGGCTTTCCGATCATATTCCCGAGCCGCTGAGAAGGGATATGCGCGTGCCGAATACCGGATCGGAATGCAGTTTGAGAGTTCGGGTGAACCGGAGAAGGCGATAAAACATTATCAGCGGGGTGTTGCGCGGGCCGATTCTGCCTCGTACTATGTGGGTTATCAGTTAGACTGTGTATGACAGTGGAGAGACTAACATACTTGCAGCGTCTGGGAATGATGATCCTTCTGGGACAGCATGGACAGCACCAGGATTTCAATACTGGTTTGGAATACATCCGGCTGGCGGCGCAGTCATGCGACCAGAACGCACCTCAAGGTGCATACGTGAGTTCTATGTTAATTTTACCATTGAAATTATTCTAATGGAGAAAAGGTATACGGCATGCTCTTGGCTCGGGAACTCCCTCAAGTGAGCGTCCCGGAAAGCTTCCTACCCCTTGATCTGAACCTGGCACGTGTCAATATCGAAAAGGCGGCATATCACGGGTTCGCCAAGGCTCAGGTCAAGATGGGTGCTGCATATGAACTCTGTCAACTGAGCTGTGATTTCAACCCCGCGCTGTCTCTGCACTACAATGCACTGGCAGCCCGCCAGGGCGAGCCTGAAGCTGAGATGGCGATCAGTAAATGGTTCCTGTGCGGACATGAGGGTATCTTTGAGAAGAACGACGAGCTGGCATTTACATATGCCCAGCGCGCGGCCCAGAGTGGTCTGCCAACAGCTGAATTCGCTCTGGGTTACTTCTATGAGGTTGGCATCTTTGTGCCGGTGGATATCAAGGAAGCCCGCTCTTGGTACGCCAAGGCCGCTGCCAGTGGCAACAAGGATGCATCTGGTCGGATTGAAAGCATCTCGCGCTCAAAGACTCTGTCTAGAAAGGACCATGAGAAAATCGCGATCTCACGCATCAAGTCGACGCGATATACCGCTCATCAGCGCGGTAATTCACTGGAATCAACCCCAGAGAATATTCAAATGCCAGATCCTTCGAGAATGACCTTGTCTGACGGCCCACCATCCGCGGCTCCTTATCCCGATCGTCCTCACTCTACTCGTCCCCGGCCCCAACAGGGTTATCAGCTGTCGGACACTCGCCCAAGCTCTGCTTTCGGCGTCAATCCCAACCTTCGAACTAATGCACCGCAGGGATATGGTGGCCCACCTCCCCAAGGCCCCGCCCAAGGCCCTGGATCTCGCACTCCGTCTTATGGACCTAACGGACCCATGAATTACCGCCAGCCCGGCCCTGGAACACCTCTCAGCGCTCCCGCTGGACCTACAAGCCCGCAGGCTGGTAACATGACCAGTCCCGGCGGGGCTCCTCGTCTTGACATTGGCTATTCCGCACCAATGCCGCCTCCCGCTGGGCGACGCCCACCACCTCGACTTGACTCTGTCCCAGATCGCAAGCCTATTAGACCTCCTGTTTCTAGCCACAGCGGAATGTCCTCGCCGGGTGTAGCATCTCCTCGCCCGCCTGGTTCGCCCTCATTCCCTCCACGTACGGAGTCCCGACAACCGTCTCACGGCTCGGGTGCCTCCACGCCACAGCCGGCGCCCTCAGTTGCGTCGTCGACTTCGTCCGCGCCGCAGCAGAAACCCGCCAAGCCGCCAAGCAAGGGACCCAAGACCTTCGAAGAGATGGGTGTTCCTAGTGCCAGTAAAGACAGTGATTGCGTATGTTAACCCTACTTTTTTTGGGGCGATTGGACTCGAACTAAAGCTGACTTCTTGCAGATTGTGATGTGATACCCTTATGTTCCCTTTTTATCCAAACACGTTGGCTGTCTCCGTTCAACTTTGCATTTCCCCTACTTTCTATAATCCCGGGGGTTTCAAAAGTTTTCGCCGTCCGGGAGGCGAATGGTCTCAATGGGTCTCCTTGTTTCCACATAACTGCATTTGCACCCATTTCATTTCTGCTTTGAGCCTTTCCCCCCTCTGGACATATTATCATTCGGCTTGTAAGTTTGGGCATGAATTAGATATCAGGAGTAGTTGTGAATTTATTGTTTTGATTGAAAGCTCAAGACTCTTCCAATTGTAGTGTCACTTCTTCCACGTGAGATGTGAACTTCATCTACTTGTACCAACTCAGTGCAACTCAATACAACGTCTTCCCAATCTTTTCAACATGGCTCCACGTAAGCCCAAGAGCGATGTATCTGCTGGACATGATGGTTAGATATTCTCTTGGTCAAATTGTCGAAGCTGACCTACTGACTTTGACCCTCGCAAAGATGCTTCAATGATCCGTGAATACCTTCGTGAGTATCCGACCAGTACCTGGACCTTGACATGTGTTTGCTCAATGAATTATTCGACGAACTTGCAGGTCAACAAAAGTATGTCGGCTCTGATGAGTTGTTTCTATACGTTGATCAACGTGGTGGCTAACATCGCCCGGCACAGTCGTCCATATTCGGTTCGCTCCCTCTTCAGAACAGCCTTGAAAAAGACTGTTGACCAAGCATTCCTTAGGCCATCGACGTTTCTGCCAATCTTCACAACAAAGTGACCAAAAGTAAGACTGGTTCTGTGAGCTTGTCTGTGCTTTCCTAATATATGGGGTTCTAGCGCAAGCCGCAAAGCTTCTCCGGGATCTGCATGAGAAGAAAGAGATTGAAGGGAGAGTTTCTGGTAAGTAGTTGGGTATGCTTGAAGATAGAAACATGCTAAACCAAATAACGTATAGGCAAACAGACAGTCTACCATGCCCTACAAGATCCCTCGGATATCATATCCCCAGAGGCAACCGCGGCTCTCAAGCTTGACATCGAAAGGCTCGAGGATGAGCTTGCAACTCTAAAGGCAAACGAAAAGAAGGCCCGAGTGGCATTAGCAGCCCTGCATGCAAAGCCCCGGATATCCGATCTCCGACAGGACATCAGCCGTCTCGAGAGCGAGAAATCGACAATTCAGGCTCGCTTAGCAAGTCGTCACGAGGGCGAGCCCGTTCAGATGTCACCGGAAGAAAGAGAAAAGCTCGAAAAAGAATGGAAATATTGGCAACGACATGCCAACGTGCGTCGTCGCATCTGCCGCGATCTCTGGGGACAATGCTCAGAGGTACTTCCGGAGGACATAACTGCGGCTGAGTTGTGGGTGAGTCTTTTTTTTTTCAGAATGACGAGTGACATAGCCCTAGAGGATCTCCAACCGTCAATGCTTTGGAATTCTGACAAATGTTATCAGGAATCTTTGGGGCTTGAAGGAACGCTCCAATAAAAGGTCATCGCGGAGTGGTGATCTCTCTAACTAGTCCCCACTCGGGTCACATCATTTGACTATGGTGTACGATGTGCACGTTTACTATTCTACTTACTGCGAGAACTACAGAGGGATTCTAGAGATCTTAGGATTGTGTATTCTATTTCCGATGAAGATCTGATTCGCTGGTATGCAAGAACAGCTCGAGTATGGAATGGAGGCAACGAGGCGAACCGTAATCAGATGGACATTTTCATGAGAGAGGCTGTGGTGAGATTGTATAAGATAATGATGTTATATACTATTACCTAGGTATCTTTTTAATTATTATTTTCATGTATTTCTACACTTTCCAATTTCATATTTCATAGTCTCTTCATACTCTTTTCTCGAGTTGTCGGGGCTGTGAAAATCATCTAAATTCGATCCACCGCCCAGCCTATCTTTCCCCTCTCCAATCTCCAAACCCCTCCCACTTCTCCATGCAGGTGTCTTCTCGTCCTCCGTCATCTCGTCGACCCAGTCATTCAGAGATGAG